CACTGCAAACCTTCAGTATCACAGTTTTACTCAGACAGACATGGGGCTGCCACGAGTTGGAATCAACTTGAGGGCAACTAGTAGCTTAAAATGTATTACAAATGTATTTCTTGCAAAATTATAGTTTTGCTTTAAACTGAGAGTTAGAAAAGGGAAAAATGATTACCCAAGTCAAAACATTCACCATAAACAAGTTAAAATAAATTAATGACCATTTGTATTTTGACAAGTTTATATGGCTATAGGTGAGAACCCCATGGACACCAAACCCAAACCAAACTCACTGGCAGAGCAAGTTGATTCTGACTCATAGTAGCCACTCTACAGGGCAGAGCAGAACTGCCCCTGTGGGTTTCTGAAGCTATAAAGAACCTTTATGAGAGTAGATAGCCTCATCTTTCTCCCATAGTGTGGCTGGTGGTTTTGAACTGTTGACCCTGTGGTTAGTATCTCAACATGCAACTCACTGTGCCACTAGGGATCCTACCGTGAGCACAGTGTACCTTAATTAGAGGCCCTTGGCAAAATCTTTCATAATACTGACACAGACAAGAAGTTAGTCTTATAAGAACAGTTGGAATTAATAGCTATCAAACCACCACAATGTGTTGATTAATGAACTGATGTTAACCTGAGAGGAATCTAGTCAAGTTGTAGACTTCAGAGTCCTTTGTCTAATTTACTACTTTTATCAACAACTTGAATAATCTAGTAGGCATGACCACCAAATATGAAAATGACCAAACTAAAATCAGCCACTGCAAACCCTAAGTATTACAATTCTAAAGATTATAAAGAACAAATCGTGTTAAATAGCTAAATGGAGACCAACAAAACAAAATGCAAATCGTAATACTTTCACATAAGTAACAGAAGCTGAAAATTGTTGATTTCTTTTGTGTGTGTAAGTAGTAGCATTTAATTCAAGCAAGGCATACCTCCTACTCTTTGGCCAAGTAGAATCTAAGATATACTGAATACAGTTCTGGGTACTACGGTTAACAACAGTCAGTAGCTGAAGTTCATTGAGAAAAATGACCATGAGATGAGGTTGAAGGTGCAGAGGATGACATTATCTACAGAACAGTTAAGTAGCCTGGAGTTATTACCGCTATAAGAAGACAGAATGCGAAACTGTATGTGACCTCCTCCCTGGGGGACGGACAACAGAAAAGTGGGTGATGGGAGACATCGGACAGGGCAAGATATGACAAAATAGTGATTTATAAATTATCAAGGCTCATGAGGGAGGGGGGAGCGAGGAGGGAGGGGAAAAATGAGGACCTAATGCCGGGGACTTAAGTGGAGAGGAAATGTTTTGAGAATGATGAGGGCAATGAATGTACAAATGCGCTTTACACAATTGATGTGTGTATGGATTGTGATGAGTTGTATGAGCCCCTAATAAAATTATTAAAAAAAAAAAAAGAGAGAGAATGCTTAGAGTGTGTGGTAGGGGGAAAATCAGGGGTTAACTCTCTCACTGCCATTGAGTCCATTCCAATTTACAGCAACCCTCATAGGACAGGGTACAATTAGAACAGCCTCCATGGTAACTGAAACTGTTTACAGGAGTAGAAAGCCTCAACTTTCTCCCAGCGAGAACTGGTGGTTTCTACTATGCCTGGGTTCCAGGAGTTGGGGAGAGGGGCAGTTATATATTCAAAAATCCAACCCTCTTATCAATCTGACTGGACTCGTAGTGCCCTATATAGGGTTTCCACGATGGTAAATCCTTACAGGAGCAGACGGCTTGTGGTTAGCAGTGCAATCCTTAACCCAACACTTTCTGGGGTTATTCATGCAGAAAGAGGTTAAAGACTTGGGGGAAAAGCAAAATATAGTGGGAACTGCATAGGCTTTGGAGAGCAGAATGAACTGGACTGAAATCCTAGCTCCATCATTTCTGTGTATTTGACACTCCAAGAGAGATTCAGTTTCCTTAACTATAAAATGTGCCTTACCTCATAAAAGATAAAAATTAAGTGCAATTAAATACAAAAATATTTATAAGCTGCCTAGCACTGCCTGACACACTAGGATGCACAACACTGTTACCTCCCATTCCTAGACTTTTGTTTTGCTCTAGAGCAGTCTTTTCCAACTGAGTTGCAATCCACTAATGGGTCAAGAAATCAGCTTAGTGGGTTGTCACCAGAGATTTTCCCCTGGTGAAACAGTACAAAATATCAATGCATGCCCTGTAGTGAAAGCAACCAGTTTTGTGACACTTTTGTTTCGATTGTACATATATATACTCGGTTGTGATGTAAAATCTGTTTCTTACCATGGGAGCTGGGTCCAAAAAAGAAAATAAATGAGAAAGTCACTGATTTAAGATCACTGTTTTCTAAATGTTCTAAATGAAAGGGAGCTCTCGTTAAGTCTAGAAAACACGACTTCTTAGAGAATGGCAATACTGAGTACACATTAGCATATTAGAAAAGGTCAGCATTGAAGAAATATTTTTCTTGAATTTTGGTTTTTACACATTTATTTGATCCTCAAACCCCACAACTATTATTCAGATAGTACCTACTGACTACAATTGTGAGGATGGCCACTGGAATGGGCAGTGTTTTGTTGTGTTGTACATCGAGCTGCTGTGAGTCAGAACCGACCACACCTAACAAACATCTACTGACCCATTCTGAATTAGCACTGTGTGACACATACTTGGGAAAAGACATTCCTCTGGATAAAAAAGGAAGGTATAATATGTAGAAAATATAAAAGGGGAGGCATTTAGCTTTCAAAGAAAGAAAATAGTCTTGACTGTGAACTTACCTTCCATTGATACCCATCCCCTGCTGAACTATACCCTAAACACATACCCCAAATCAAATGTGAGTTCTCAAAATTTCAATTCACACTAAACTCGTCAAGAAAATATTAAAACATCTATAGTAGCCACTATGAAGCTGGAATCAAATTAGTAAGGATGACTTTAAAAAGAAAAGCCTCTTGCCATAGTAGCTAGAACTTGCTTTATCCTAATGAACCTTATGCTTGGAAATCAAAGCAGCCAAATCCTTAATCAGCTTCTCCAAGTGGAGTGAATGTTTTCTAATAATACAAAATCTAAAATGGGCCGATGAGTGCAGCGAGTCCACATTACTAAGAGCACCATTATCAACATCGTTTGGAAAAAGCAGGTGACGACATTCAGAGGATTCTGGGTTCTCTTAAAGTGTATACAATCCCCAGGATTCCTCTGGGCGGACATAATTTCACACAAAGATGATAAACTCATGACAGTCAGATCTAATAATATTTGGTGTCACTTGGCAATTCAACAAAGCTTGATATCATATAATCAAGGGTACCTGTCATTCAAGTTGCCTTAACTGGGAGTTCTACAAAGACCTCTAGCTCTCTTCTTGCAGTTTTCAAATCAGAACAAAAAATGCCCTTTTGCCACTCTTCCCCAACCCCAGGCTCCAATGCCACCGCCTCGCTAAAGTTTGTCCAAACTACTGTGAATTATTCTCTTCCCACTTTCTGAATTATTGGTCTTTTCTGTTCCCAGCCACTCCCATGAAGAGCTACTTTCTTGGAAAATCACAGGGGCAGTTCTACCCTGTCCTGCAGGGTCACTGAGCTGGGATAAACTTAATGGCAGTGTGCTATGGTTTGTGCTAACCATTCTTTTGGCAAGTCATTGTATATATCCAATCTTATCTAACTGCATAAGCTTTGCTCTCCCCAACTCTAACTACCTTTTAAACTGGGATCAACACTTACAAATGCTTAGAACCTCCCAAGAGAATCTGTACAAGCTTCCTAAGTTTTATGTTTTGATTTAAATGACTCCGTTTTGGTGTAATAACAGCCTCCCTGAGCTTAACACAAGACATGCCAGACCCAGAGTTAAAAGGCACACCCAGATTACCTCACTTAATCTTCACAACTCTGTAGAGATAACTTTGTTTTGTTTTGTTTTTTTCTTTCCCCCATCAATGACAGGGAGAAAGAAGGCTCCGAGTAACTCCCCAAGGTCATGGGGCTAGTAAGCCAAAGCCAGGGCCTGAATCCAGGTCTGTATGAACGCAAAGCTCTCAACTATCTCCCAGTAAAGTTTGAACCCTGCGATACACCCAAGTGCTTATGAAGGCTTTTTCTTTCACTAAACCAGAAGTTTCAACCTCGACAAAGAAACTGTAGCCAAAAAGTAAAACCTCCAGAAGAGATAAATGAAGACAATTTCCCAATGGTTATCTTTATATTCAGCGACAGTAAAATACGATGGAAAGGGTCTTCCCTAGCTCTTCCATTGGGGAAAGCGATATTGTGGTTTGGGCCACAATTTCATCAAAAAGGGCTTGTGACAAGACAGATGTCCAAATACGGTTCCTTTCTCTGGCCCCAGGACGACGTGGAGAGGTTGCTGTGACAACTGTCACTTCCCAGCCCTGAATCCCAAAGCTGATTCTTAAAAAAAAAACAAAAAACCCCAGCATAAATGCTAAGACGCATTCCACCCTTGACTGCACACAAAGCAGCACCTTCTTCGGCCCTCTCTACACAAAGCAAGCTTTGCCCCGCTGCCGGTCGGGGAGGGCGGATTCGCACGCTCTCCACATCCCCGCCAAAAAGGCATCCACCTCACACCGGCCCAAGGCACTGGCCACTGAAATAGAGGTAACCGACTCCGCTCGGTCCCCCGGACTCGACCCCTCCCTGCCACCCAAATTCCCAGGCCGCCGTCCGAAAGCCAGCGTTTCACACAAAGCAAGGCGCCTTCCCACCTCGGACTCTTCCCACGGCGAGGCCAACCCCCCAAACCCAACAGGGGACAGCACCTGGAGTCCCCAGCCTGGCGGAGAACCAACTACCAGCCCTGGTCCCCCGCAGCCAAAGCCAGACCCCGAGTCAGCCGCCCGGGCACGGATCCGGCCCCACAAAGCGAGGCGTTCCGGCCCGGAGACCCTCGGCGGGCGCCCTGCGCCCCCGGGGCCCATCCCCGCCCCGCCCGGCACGGCCCAGCGCCCCGCGCTTACCAGCTCTCCTCCTCCTCGTCGCAGCCTGACAGGCGCTCCAGCTCCTCGGGCCGCAGCGGCTCCACCTCGTCCAGCAAGCCGCCCTCGCCCGCCGCCAGCAAGGAGGTGGCGTCCCGCAGCTCCTCGCTGCTTGTCCGCTTCGGGCCCGAGCTCGCCCCGCAGCCCGACTTGGCGTTGAGGCCCAAGGGGAAGCCCCGCGGGGACGCGGCGCCCGAGGAGGGAGTGGACACGCCGGCCCGCACCGGGCTGCCGGGCCCCAGCGAGCCGGCGCTCTGCACGGCCCCGGAGCGGCTCCTCAGCTGTTCATTCTGCTTCTCCAGCTTCTTCACCAGCTCCTGCAGCTTCCGCACCTCCTGGTCCGCGTTCACATTGGAGTTAACGTCCTCCATCCCCTTCACGCCGCCCGCCGCCCTCTCGGACTCGCTGCGACTGGGAAAGAGCCCGAGGCAAGAGGCGTCGCCGTCGCCGCTCACTCTAGCCGAGGCACCGGCATATAGCAGGGCCAGGCCCCACCGCCAGGGTCCCCCCAGCTCGTGTTCCGAAGCGCCGCTGGCCC